AGTTGTACCTATTTGCAGGGGCGCCCAGCAGCTCCCGGAGGCGTGGGGGCGGTTGCGACTCGCGGTCCGTGTGCTCCGGGCGCGCACGCTCGTGTCGATACCGCGCCGGCGTCTCGTTCTCCGGTCCAGCCCATGTCCGTGACCTTGGAGGAGAAGCCCGGGTAGTGGTGCGGCACGCAGGTGCCCGGGAAGGCGTAGTAGTTGCGGAAGACGCCCTTGACGCCCTTCGGGTCGGTGAAGGGCCACGCTTGAACAACATGTAGTTGAGCGTCGCGTACTCGCCGCTCGGGTCGAGCTCGTAGATGGAGACGGGCTCGTCATTCGGGAGGATCTCGGGCGATCTCGGAGCGTCGCTCGCGCGGCGTCACACCTGCACAAAAAAGGAAGGGCCTGGTTGGAGCCACGGGGCTCACGAGGACGTGCTCGCTCGGTTCTCGCCGCCTCGCCCTGCGCCACTTGGGCCGGTGAGGCGGCGCCCCGCGCGGCGCGTCCCTCGCCCCGTCACGCCGACCCCTGCGCGTACCGCTCATCTTCAGCCCTCTTGGGGTTACTCTTGCGCTCACGCAGGGGAACCCGGCGGTACTCCCTTCCCCCCACCTCCGACGGGTTAGGTCGGTTCTGCGCCCCTTGGCGCCTGTGCATGTCCCGCGTGCCCGCCTGCCAGGGCTGATGCCAAGGCCAAATCAACAACATGCCCGGCTGATGCCAGGGCCAAACCCACTGCCCGGCTGGTGCCAAGGCTCAATGAATCTCCTCTCCGTCTCTTTCCCCCCCCCGCCCAGACAGGACTGATCCGCACGACACACGACACACTCTCTCCTACTATCCGACAGACGCTGCTTGACCGACACGGGACGCTCTGACAGGACACTACTGTGACGACTACCTCTACTCCCTACCGCTACTACTCGACTGGCGGCGCTCGCGGCGCCACGCCGCCCATCCTCGGCCACGCGTTGCGCTGGATGATCTCCCAGTTGCGCCTCGCAATGATGGCCGAGTGCTGCTGCAGGAGGCGCTTGCGCTCGTTGCGCACTCGCCACTTCTTATATTTTTTAATTTGCCAAGCGTTCGAGAACTGGATCGCGCCATCAACACACAAGGGCGTCAATCTCGTAATGACATGCATCCACGAGGGCTACGGCCACCTCCGCATGCGGGGAGGCGTATACTCCACTCACTGTGTATGAGAGAGAGAGAGTTTGTTGCTGTGTATGTGCCATTTTCGCGCAGAATAGTGTCGAATAGCGTTGAATGGACTTGAATATACTGAATATGTGTGAATGTGTTTGGGCAAAAACAACGCCCATTCGGGGCAAGAAGGCCACCACACCCAAGGCCCTTGCGCCATCTAATGTAAGGCCCTTGCGCCATCTAAGGCCCTTGCGCCATCTAATGTAAGGCCCTCGCGCCATCTAAGGCTCTTGCGCCATCTAAGGCCCTCGCGCCATCTAATGTAAGGCCCTCGCGCCATCTAAGGCTCTTGCGCCATCTAAGGCCCTCGCGCCATCTAAGGCCCTTGCGCCATCTAATGTAAGGCCCTTGCGCCATCTCATGTAAGGCCCTTGCGCCATCTAAGGCCCTTGCGCCATCTAAGGCCCTCGCGCCATCTAAGGCCCTTGCGCCATCTAAGGCCCTTGCGCCATCTAGTGCAGGGAAACGGCCCCATGGGCACGCCCCCGCTGGACACGGCGCGACAGCGACCGCGATCCCCACCGCCCCCTGAGGCGGCCACCGCCTCGCCAGCTGCACACGCTGCCGACACCGTCTTACGGGCGAGCGGCTCGCAGCGGCTCGGCGGACAGGCCCGGCTCGCTACGCGGCGACAGGGCGGCCTCGCCCTCGTCGCGGCTCCTCTACTCGACGCACGGCGTCGAGCTCGCCACTGCGGCCACGCAGCGGCGCGTCAGGACCGCCGTCCCGACCCTCGCCAGCACACATCCGTCGCCACCCCGATGGCGATGGCGTGCCTCGGCTCGGCCAGCGGCGGAGCAACGGCGCGGCGCGCCGACGGAGCGGCGCGGCGCTCGTCCCGCGCCGCCAGCCGACGCATCGCGTCGAGGGCACATTGGCGGGTGCCTAGGAGGAAGCCAAGCACGACTATCGCCGCATTGGCATTGCTCCAACCTTGCCAGACCCAGTGACCGAACGACAACTAAACCATTGCCAAGCTCAACGTCTCTACCTGTGGCGCGGACCCACGCAACTGCGCGGGCTTCCGCTGTCGCCAAACAGCCAGGCGGCGGGCAGAGCAGGAGGCTCTGGATATCCCCTCCGTCGAGGGGAGGATCGCCCTGTCACAGTTATGCGAGCGACGCCAGCTTGCGAGACGTTCAAACCGAGCATCAGGAGAGTCATTTCCGGCCAAGGGGTCGGGCCCGAGCCGAGGGCGCCAGGGCGTCGCAATTTCGTCACGTTTGTGTCACGTGACACTTGGTCCGAACGATCTTGCTTCATGCCACCGGCCGTCAGTCTGGGACTACGCGCCGATCCTCCCTGCTTTGGTCCAAGGGTCTTCTTCCAATCTGCCAAACGGCAGGCGGCATTTCGGGCAACCTCGTACATGCTCGCAAGGGGGTACAGCCGGGGAACGAGCAGCGCGCCTCCTTGGCAGCCGCTCGCCCCCGACTCCATGTGTGCCATTTGCCGAAGAATTTCAGCCCTATACCAAAGCAAAAGCAATATCGGACGATGGGTTCGCATCCTCTTCACAGCTACCTGGCTACGAACAGGATACTACAACTTATCTACGATATCACGTGTATCTAAGAACGATGTATGATGTATGTAGAAAGATGAACAACAGTCGAGAAGCGTGTGGAATGACGCCGTGAACGGCGGCTCGCAGAGGGGCATCCACGACCACAGATTCAGCCGAGGTTGCCACCCGCCGGTATCGGTTCGCTCCACTTTCGCTTCTCGCGCCTGCCACGCACCGCGCCGACACGGGGAACCAAGCGTGACCAAACGCAGATGATCATTTTCGCCATCCGCTCGCTGCTGGCGACGCCGCTGCCCGGCTCGGCCCTGTCGCCGCCGCCGCCGGGCGCACCGAGCTCTCCGCCGCTGCTCAACCTGCTCTTCTTCTTGCAGGACGACACCGGCTACAACGACTTTCTCACCTCCACCGACTACGCCGGCGTTTACAGCGACGCGAACGCCCTGTGGCGGCAGCGAGGCATCCTGGTCGACCGGACGTACGCGGATATGGTTTGCGCGCCCAGCCGGGCGTCCTTCATCGCCGGCCGGCCGAGACACCTCGTGCAGCCCACGCCTCGTTCGCGTGTGTACACTAGCTCGCAGGAGGTGTGTACACTAGCGCTGGCAGCACAGGCGTAAGCAGCAGCGGCAGCACAGCAGGCCATTGCTGGTTTGATACTAGGTGACGCTGATGCAAAAGCTCAGCTCCACTGGCTACCTGAGCTACATGGTCGGCAAGTGGCATTGCGGCGTGCAAGCGGCTCACCTGCCAACCTCGCGCGGCTTCAACCGCTTCTTCGGGCACACGAGCCGGACGGATCTCACACACTGCTGTTCATCGCTATGAGTGACATCATTGATTAATAGGCTGCTCGAGAACCCGCTCGCGTACGACTCGGTTTGCGGCCATAAGACGAACAAATACAACGTGTACTACATGGAAAACACCGCCTTTGAAAACAGCGCCTCCTCTGCTCTGGTCCGATCTTAGATGCCGGGCGCGTGCCGGGCCCTGCCGGGCGCGAGATGGCGCGTGCCGGGCCACTACCAGTCTCAAAGAGAAATCACGACGATCACGTCCTCTCCCCAGTCTCTCTCCCTGAGGTGTCCGTGGTTTCACTCAGGACCCCTTTATGCGGCGGCACTACGCGGACGCCGAGGACTACTACTCGCCGACCGAGCTGCAGGAGGAGGCGTTCCGCTTCCTGAACGACCACGTTGCCAGGTACGGGAGCGCCGGGAAGACCGCCGGCGTGCCACTCTTTCTGTACTTTGCGACGAACGCCATCCGCGATTCCGGCGACGACGACTCTCATCCGAGCCGTTTCTACGCCAACTGCACGCACGTCGCGAACCCGCAGCGCAGGAATGGGTGCGCCGCCTCGGCGACCATCAACCTCGCCATCAGCGAGCTGACGACGTACATGGACACCCTGTCGGACGACGACTGGCTCGGCATCGTCTCGAGCGACAACGGAGGCTCTGCTTGGAACTTCAACTCGCCAGGAAACAACTATCCTCTCCGAGGGAACAAGAACGAGATCTTCGAGGGGGGCGTGCGGGTGCAGAGCATGATCTGGGGGACCTATCCGCCACTCCTGTCGAGCAGGATGATTGGACACACGTACTCGGCGGGGTTCGTATCGATTT